CATATAATTTTGGCTTAGATTATATAGATAGAGCATCGATCCACAAAAACGCGTCAACTTTTGTCAACTAATTATCAAATTAGCTGACTCGTTTTTTTTCATCAGTATTCTGTGTACTTACGCATAAAATGTATCTTGACGTATTATTTAATAATTAAATGAGTGTTCACGCATTAAAGAAATGCGTAAACTATAAGACAGTATACTTAGAGAGGTTACAAAGGAATCAATAATAACTATTTATCACGCAAAATTATATGAAAAAGTTGACTCGCTTTTCTCTAAGCATTGCTATGGATGTCTCCATCCATCCATCATTTTATCTATATAATTTAAGAGTTTTAGCTTAAATCTGTATAAATAAATCAAATAGACAATTTGTAGCAAACGCCTTATCTTATTTTTCTACTTTTCTATTTATTTTTTATTTTATCCTTGTCAAATTTGTTTGACATCGTCTTGATGATATCGTATCATTAATTACTCATTAGATTTTTTTTTCCTTTTAAACCATCACACACATATATGCGGTCTATATTATCGTCTACAGAACTTAATTTCTAAATCAATTCAAAAGAATTATTTCGAAAATGGTCCCAACCGTGAATTGGAACACGTCCTGCCCACTTTCCTGGGTCCACGTTTGCATTGAACGTAATAAATATTTATCTCAATGCGGAAATCAAACCAATTTGGTCCCTTTTATCAATCATGACGTCATAGGAAAAATAAAATTCACCATAGAGTGTGAGAGCGCTGACGCGTGTGCCCAGTCGTGAACGTGACTGAGCTCCATCTGATATGTGTGAGTCCATGTTTAGAATCTTAAAAGGTTCATCGACCCCACAAATCTATTGAAATACTTTAAATTTTTTTAGTATTTTGGAAATGCAAATATACAGGGTGATATGGTGTTTACCATTGGAAAGGGAATTGGGATCCCCCAACTACCCTATGTTCACAGTGGACAGTTGACGACTGATGTGATGATGAGTGTGATATGAAAGTCATTAACACTAGGGAGTATTTTACTAGTAAAATTATAATATTTTCATCAAGAGAACGTGAGTCGACAAAGAACAAAAAATTTAGAGCAAGCGGAAGGCCCACCTGATGAGATATGGTGATCGCCGCCTATATACAGGAACAGCACCGTGAAATAATACAATACTTCTCAAGCGTTTCCATTCCGGAAGACTGTGGTGTATTTTTTAATGGATGAAGATGGAATGATGCATCTGCCTAAGCTAACGGTATAACAATGGCAAGACATCATTAGAGAATGAAGTGATGAGAAGCCGAGTCAGGTCAGTCGGCTACGATGACCACTTCAATATTAACCACAAAGGTTTCTAGGGGGACCCCAGGGAAGTCGACCTGACAAATAATGTAGCTAGCGATGAGGTCTATTGACCCCATTAATAACAATCTGTCCTCCCCCCCGAACTATAGAGTTAAGCTTTTGTACCCTGTACTTCACTGACATATCTTACATTTCAAACCGAAACTCAGCCATGCAAATACAGTTGCTTTACGGCAGAAATACCTTTTATTTTTCATACCACTAAGGTAGCTATCCCCCACTAGATGGAATGTTAACCTAAAGTGCACTGCACAGAGTCAGTGAATGCAGGTGGCTCAGGACCGTTCTTTATGGCAGTCAATGAGGGAGTCTTATGTCCATTAGTGGATGGATAATGACTGAAATGATGACGATGATGAGGTGGCAGACAAGCACACGGCTCATCTGATGGTAAATTTCTGCAACACTTTTCAACTGTTTATTAAGTGAGTGCTTATGTTATTTTAAAAATGTATAAAAGTAGCAAGATATTATCGGTGTATATGAATTATGGCCTTATTTTCACGTAATAGAGTCATAGCGCGGGTTGGCTGGTTGCCAGTGCGCCCTAGTCTTGTAAGTAGACTAACAGTTTAACAGACCATTGAACAAAATGGCGGGACCCGTAAGAGTTGCCCAATATCATTTTGATTAAGTGTCTATAGTGGTAAGAGAGTGGCAAAAGTTCAGAACTTGTACTAAGAGTACAATCTAAAGCAACTATAGATATGGTGCTTACCATTATTATTATTGACATAAAACAAAATTCTTAAAAGTGTGGAAATGACGTGAATGTGAATAAGAACAGCCATAGACGAACCAAATAGCAAACTGAAAAATGGTCAAGTTAAAAGTAAACAATTAGTAATGGGTGTTTATATCTATAAATTTATATTTGTTAATTATATACATTTATATACGCTGTGTGGTCCCGGCATAGAATGGACCACCCCTTCCTTTCCCGCGGGTGTAGTAAGAGACGATTAAGAGAAATTTATGATTAAGGAATGGGCAGCAGTATCCATCTAAAACATCATGAAAACCTAACTGTGGTTGCCAACTCGCGTGCCATAAGCGGCAACTACTAACAAAACCCCCCGATAGGGGGAGGCCTATGTTTAGCAAGGGACAGTGAACAGCTGGTATGATATGGTATGATAGGTAGGACCTTCAATCCTTATCGAATACCTCATTGTAAAAACGAATATTACCTTGTACCGTGTATTATCAACCCTCACTAATAGAGTCTTCTATTGTAAGGATTCATACAAATATTGCTACATACATTTTTAGTATTCGATTCCAAAGTATCGAAAAAAAACAAAATCCAGAAGTAGCTGATACATCTAACGAAATAAATCGGGTCAACATATGAAATCAAATGATTCCCCACGGGATAATAAAAAAAAAACAACCCATGTCACCAAAGCCGAACATAAGATTTACTGATCCGCAGAATCATAGAGCGAATTTCTTTTTATAATAAGTATTTTTAGTTAGGTAGCTTCATATAATACTTACTTTTTTTACGGGATGATCAAAATAGGATGATATCTACGCCAGCACTATCGGTATACACTGGCTGGATGAAATCAGGACAGTTGGCCCATTGTAGATACAGATGTAATTTACATCTTATTGACAAATTAATCAGAAATCTACCATGATGGTTTCCAGGAAGGATGGTGTGTAGGCCAAACTGACAGTACAATATAATCTTTTCAAACAGGGGAAAGGGATAGTTATGAGTAGAAATGCGAACAGTTCCATTGCTAGCAATATACCCTGTCAGATCAACCTCCACTCTGTTCCCCTTGGAAACCATTGTGCTGAATCCCAGATATGTATATTCATCACGATGGGCTAACTGACCTGCTTTTTTATTCTCACCTATCCCTCGCTGGTGCCTCGCCAGCATTAGCGTTAACGTATACCGTTAGCGCAGGCGGGTTTACCATTCCATTATCATCCATGTGACATCCAATTGTAATTTTTTCTAATAAGCAAGTCAATAATATATATATATATATATATATATATATATATATATATATATATATATATATATATATATAACAATAGTGGGAGAAAAAATTATTAGTATTGAGATAAAACCATCGTAGTTAATTTATTGTTAAATTCGTCATGATGAACCAACTGACCTACTTTATCCTCACATATCATCCCTCACTGGTGACCTACCAATGAATACCGATAGCGTAGACGGAGTCCATTTTCAATTTTACAAATAAAAAAAATATTAGTATTTTGTAGGTGGTTTCAAAATTATAAAAAAGAAATATACATTTTAAACGCACAGGTGTGTCATATTTTTTGGTTATGTTCTGGAAGGTTGTTCTTTACCTTCGTCGAAAATTTATAAAAATCCCCTAACAATAAACAAATCAAACCCTTTTCAAAGAGCCCTTTGTTCTGTCCTCGGAAATGAAGTACTGGCCACTTCGTTGTGGCAAAAACAATTGTTTCTGATACAAAACAGCGTACACGGAAATTCCACATAATAAAGTAGGCACGTTAATTTTTTGGTTGCAACATATAATGAACATTGCCAAAAAAAAAGTAAATATATATGTACCACTGGATGTATTTCAGACGCGCCATCTAGTCATGAAAGTATTAAAATTTGTTTTTTTTTGATGGGTGAAAATGGTATGGTAACCCCGCCTGCGCTAACGGGATACGCTGGCGGAGCACCAGTGAAGGGTGATAGATGAGAATGAAGACAGGCCTGTCATGATGAATTCATCAGGAATTAACAATGATAGTTTCCAGGAAGAACCGAGAGGAGGTCGACCTGGTTGGGTATATTGCTAGCAATAGGATTCTCAGTCTCCATTACTAACAATCCCTTTCCCCCCTATTAAAATTAGTAGGTATTATTGTTATTATTAACTGTCCACTGCTGAACACAACCCTTCCCCATAAGGGGAGTAAGAATATAAATTTATATATACGATTAAAATCGTATCGTATACTTTAAAACCCTAATAAGCTATTTGCAACGATCATCGCATTCTATCAGGTAAGTTGATAAATTTATCGTCATTAAATATCAATTGTATAAAAAAAATTGTATTCCAATAAATTCTAAGCACCAGTATTATAAAGTTATATCTATGTTAGTGCGTGTAGCGTATGAAAAATACGTAGTTTGTTTAATAAGAAATTTAATAACTGCTAACTTAGCACTGTGCCTACTCGGTCATTGTGTCTTACCTGCACGTGCCCCTTCTCTTATATATTTTCTTTGTTTATTATGTAGTATATAAGTTAATATTTATTGTCAATTATTAGTCAATTTCCCGTATGATCCCGGTATAGAACAGGTCACCCCTTCTTATTCCGTGGGTGTCGTAAGAGCGACTAAGGGTTAGTGGGGAATAGGCAGCAGCGTCTCTCTTTAAACACCTCCAAAGCTTAGCTGTGGTTGCCAAGCCGTCTGTCAAGCATAGCAACTACTGGCAAAACCCCCCAAGAGGGAGGCTTATGTTCAGCAGAGGGCAGTTAAATCGTATATCGGGATTTTTTGTAAATACTACTACTCTTTAACTAGTACAATAAATAGTGAATTAATAAATTTCAAATAAATACTTAAACATATATTTTTATTACAGGTAATGATAAAATAAAAACAAGATTAAATTGAATCACTTTATTTCACTTAATTGAATAAGTATCAATATTTTTACTCGCTATAAATTTTACATTGTTACTTAGGATAGAATCTATCGTCGACTTACATTTATGACAATCAGTCTGAGCCTTACTTTTTGCCTTAGTTTATAATGAACTTTAAATAGGGTCAATTCTCTTAGAGCGGTAATCGTAATGGCGTTGTAAATATAATTTACCCATTACTATTTGCAACTTGATCCATACAATGTTGTGGTCAAAATACGCCCTTATACTTTGCCTTTTCTACAGATACAAGGTAAACGTATTTATCATACACTTTTCGGATAATTTGTTCAAGATTTAACCTTTAAATTTATATAAAAAAATGTGGCAAAATTCAATAACAAGTACAGTAGGCGTTGCTTGGGACATTAGATAAGTTTCTTAAATAATTCTATCACTATGACTTTTATATTACAAGTATCAAATAATTTAGCAGCAGTCCGAATTTTTTTCGTCATTCTCTATATTCCCACCCACAAATATTGCAATACGAAACCGTATTACATCACTTACTTTCAATAGATATAAAAGACGTAAAAATAAAAGGAGAAACTAGACAAAATATAAAATGAATTCATTATTATAATTACATTTATCTATGTACGCATATCAATGTTATAAATTTACAAAGACTACCTATCCTCTCTCCCTTTCCTTAATGGCAGTGTCTTAATTTTTGTTCTGATGGTAACCATTTCTACATACAAAATACATATGTAACAGAAAATGTTCACCATCAGACTATAAGTACGAATAATTGCTCCAATATAGGCCAGCACTGATTACTAACATTTTCTCAAAACGTAACATGTTACAAATTGAGTTAATATTACGACTATACTCTCTCAAACAGGAAAAAGACGAATCTTACGGCAACTAAACCAATAACTACACTTGTGTATACATTCACAAATAATACAGTCATTTGTAACATTTTCACAAAATGTAACATTTCATGTTACATTCAAGAGAAATATTATTCAGAGCTCCCCTTTAATACTAATAATTATAAGGTAGACACAACAACAAGTACACTAATAAAACATTGCTACATTATACTATTGGAATGATGGATGTACACATATAGAAACATATCTTTACCACCACTTAATAATACATAGCACATGAATAAGTTACGTCAATGCATAATAATTACTATGGACAGATTTGTATTTAACTACATGATAAAAATGAGAACCGATATTATTATATTTATCATCATTTTAAAATGTCATAGCGTATTAATGTAACTAGTATGAGAAATATGTGCAATATAGAAACTGTACAATGATGTTACCTATTTAAAGATATACTGGTTAGATTCAATCGTATTTTAACTTTAACAATAATTTGTTCATTTTATATTAATATAACACTTTGAGTAAATTTTTCTCGCTTGTAACACATAAGTACTTTTCTTAAATGGCATTAATAAATTATGTGCAAAAAGGAAAATAATATAAGATTACTCCAACTCAAAGTGACTATATACTTTAATATGTATATCTGTATTCATTTTAATATTGTCTTATAATAAAAATATTAACAAATGAATTGTAATTCAAACTAAATAATGCTTTTATTTTGTTTAAATGAAAAAAAAAAAATTATCATCGAAAACAATTTGTAAATAAATACGTTTTGAATGATGGAAAGTATTTATTTGTTGACAATACAAAACTTAAAAAATATAAAACACAACTTTTTAAAAAAGGTATAATAAACAATTATATAAAATCATAAACAACACATCAGCACACTTATGTAGGTATTGATATATAGTTAAAAAAATAGTTGACAGAAATTAAATATAACGTCATGTCGAAAGAGTATATTTCTCTTAAAAATCAATTCTAATTCAAATTTTAATTGCATAAAACGGAATGTAAAACAAGTACAATACAAATTAAATAAAAAAGGAATGACTTTTACTACGATGTTTAAAGTGAAGGTAGGGTAAGCAAAAATAATTAATTAAAATAATATAAAAAAACTGGAGTATAATCTTTTTGCACACTTTTATCAAATAACATTAAACAGGTCAAGGTCATTGAGTTCCTATTCTTATTTCAATCACATAGTATTCAATGTTATAAATAAAACCACAGAAAGCTTAATCATCAAAGCTCATTAAAACTTATCGCCTATGAAGCAGCTAAAAAAATTGAATAACTTAATGGTGATTCTGAAACACCATTCTGTAAATTTATCTCTTAAATTAAAATTATATATTGGTAGTTTAGCGAATGTTACTGTAGAGATCAGTAAGAACTAAATAAAAGTAGCCGATTCAAATCTATTAAGATTTGAATCATACTAGTTCTTAAAATAATACTAAAAATTACGATATTAAACTGATTTTAATTCAAGAGATAGAGAATAACAATTTAGAATCACCCCAAATGCTGGCCAACAAAAAGAAATAAACTTAGATATTAGAATACAAAAATTACTAAAATAAAATATTACAATCATATCCGGATATTACTTTGAAATTATAAACAAAAACACATTAAATATATATGGATAATTATCTACTAGTTAAGCGTTATTTTGTTTAATTTCGTCAATATGTTGGCTATTACTATATTATTTTGTTTAATTCCACCACTACATTGGTGACATTAAACAAAATAATAAAACACTTATTGGTGGTATTTGAATAACGAACGTTTGAACTAATTGTTGACAGTACTAAACTAATTACACCTACAGTGGACGACTATTGAAACAAATTGAAATAATCACAATTAAAACATTGTGAACGTATGTTTGAAAAAACTTTAATTATAAATTATATTTTTTGACAGAAATATTTGACAATTTGAAAAAAAAAAGAACATTCAAGAACATACCTTTTTGGTCGCTCCACATTAACTACCTATCAATACAGGTTAATGAAAAATCATAGATAACACGGATGTTACATACACATATTATATATTCGTTGATATGCATAATTTTAAGACACCTGGAAACATTATTCTAATATACGGCATAGTCATTCGTCATTTATAAAACACACTCACCCAATATGTATCATTTACATATTTACATATGAATTAAATCCTATTTACAGTTACATTATGATCAAATTATAACTGCTCACAATAGAATACACGACCTTATTTCTACGGCCATACGGATCATTCTCATAAATAAAATGACATCTATATTACAGTCTTATACTATCATTCAACACAATACAATAATTAAACTAAAAGTATAAAATAAAACTTATTTAATTTTGTTTTATATTCGCCTAGTTCCCTTACAATTGTACTCATTAAAAAAAAATATTACGTGTTGTTATTTGGAATAGTTTTATTCATTACACACAGAGGTAATGTTTATTTTGATTATTACATTTTAATTAAATGAAATCAAACATAATTGAAGTAAATATTTATTAATTTTTATAATTATTAATTTCATAAATAATATTATGATGTCAATAACTATAAAAATTAATGAATTTCTTAAATTCTTTTTAAATTGTAATTATTTAATGAAATATCTGTAACGAATATTTTTACAATGAGTACATATTATGAAAAGGACTTCACGGCCCGGTTCACACTACCAATAGTAACACTCGCATCAAATGCTTTAGTTTTACTTACATAAAACTTGTCAATCTTTCACGAGTACATTTCCACTAAAGAGAATCATACTGATCATTTGAAAGCTACCGTTTACACACCACTATTAAAGCACTTATGCGAGTGTTTAGCAATGTAAACGGGGCATAAGACAAAAACATTATAGAGAGGTACAAACAAAAATATTATAGGTCCTCAATTAATGGCACTTCAGGTTTTGTAGTCATAAATGCAGCTGTCACTTTGTCGCTAGAATTGTAAATGATAATTTACATTCACACAACGTTATAGCTTATAAACATCACAACTTTGGACATGTCCTTACATTCACTAACGCCGCTCATTACAATACTCTGTCCATTATAAATAATATGACTAATAAAGCTCGCGTATTCAAAAGAAAATAGCTCGTCGATTGAAAGTATCAAATAGTAAAATTATAGACATAAAACGGACCTATTTCCATTGTGATGCTTCGAATTTACTCAATAAATAATTACGTACAGAATTTAATATCTGATTTTTTTTTGAGAACGTTTTTGTAACCAATGCGTTTAGTTTAGTATTATTTAAATTAAGATTTCAAGTTTTGAACAATAAATGCAGATTAGTCTTGACAATTTAATAAATCCTATATAAATGGAAAATTACTAAGGTAAAAAAGAAATCTTTAAAATGCCAATCACCATTTTTATATGAAGATTTTCACATTAGAGTATAAAATATTAAAGACAAATATTTTGTTAAAAAATTCCGTAATCACAAAAAAATTAAGACTGCAAAAATTATTACCAATACAAGTTTGTATATTACCATACAGTTAAACAACGTACCGCAAAATCGACGAGACTAATGGATTTATTTATACCGTTTACTTATCACACATTAAAAAATTTTGTAATCAAACATCACTTGTAAATTAGAATGATACGGTCGCAGTAAAAAGTTAAAGCATAATCCGCTGAAACGGTGGGATCCATTCGAAACGAGTTGTAAAACTCAACAGCGTCGAACTAACACAACGAAAATGAGCGTTAAGGCATCTCGAAGCTTGGTCACCAAGCAACACACAGGGCATTTTAGCCCTTACGCAAGAGTCATATAGGGGTTACATTTACGTGGCTACACGAGCCAGGCGTGGCGCTAGCACCATGACTCCTCGTGGGGCGCTCTCTCATCGTCAGAGTCTCCGTACATGTCCGCCAGCTTGCGGAATCGAGGGCCGAACGTGGATAGATAGTTGAATTTCAAGTCTCCATCGTCAGTACCTAAAAGAGAAGTTTCATTGGTTATTGTTATTTTTCAAGTGGGGTTTGAGGTGCTTTTACAAATGTTAAACTCAACTAACGTAAGTAAACCCCACCATCTATAGGTGTAGTAAATGTGTATTAACAATAACCGTTTACCATCAGACGGGCTGTAAGCCTGTTTGTCACCACGCAGGTGACAAGTCTGAAAAAATAAATATGATTGTTAATAGACATTTTATTTTCATAATCAACGATTTCAATTCTCGACTATTAATTTTTTTTTTTCTAATTAATGAAAGGAACTAATAATGAATCAGGTTACTAATCTATTTCATTAATTGGTGGTGAACAACCATCCCATCTATACTATCCACACGTACTAGCTAGCATCACTTTTTATATATGCTGAGTGTGGTAACATTCTACACAAATCAATGCGCCTTTGCCGATCTACCGTCGACAAATAATCGGCACATGAACGACTAAACGGAAGGATTACATGATGTTACGTCGATGAAATAAATCTCTCGATGTCACCGAGAATTGCAAGTTGTATGCAATCTAATGTCTTTTATTTTAAATTTTTTCGATTCTTATTATTTTTATCTTACCCCTTGACTAGATACAATTTTAATTATTCCTCTCCATTCTAAGGTTGCTTGAAAGAGATCGCTATTTAGCGATAAGGTAGTCTATTGTTGCCTCTTTATTTTGCTTTTATGTAATGAAGTTTATGTAATTAAGTATTCTTTTTTTTATTTAATTATGAACTTATTTACTTACATATAAAACTAATATACTTCTTAGAATCACAAAAAAAATTAAAGTAATGATCAGTCCCATTCATGATCCGTACCCGACCCAAAGGTCCCCATGACACTTGCGGCATTTCCGCGTTGGATTGCTAGAGATATCCTTTGAGCCAGATACGAACCAGAACGGCGATCATGGCCCCTATCCTAGTATTAATTTTGTTTGTCTATGTCTATGTTAATCTTTATAATCTGTATTATTATTTGAAGGGAACAATAAAGAGTTTTCATTCATTCATTTATTCTAATGTATTTAAAATTCCGTCGCGGATTATCGGCAACCGAAGATCGTACTGATGTGGCGTAGTGTAAGGAGAACCAAATATGAAGTCGACGGTTATAGACAATTGACAAGTTTCTTATACTTTTAAAAATATCCCATTTCTTGTGGCAAAATTTAAAATAATACTTACAACTAGCCAGCGAGGACAATGAACCACTGGTGTTGCCGTCTCCTTCGTAAGCATAATGCCGCACGTCGTCGTAGGGGTTGATGTCCGGATCACGGTCCAGGACGGATTTCTTGTCATCCAGGAAGCCAGAGATATCGGGCGCGGCGGATTTTAAGCCTGCACAAATAGTGGATATGTTAAAATTATTAATAAACTAGGGACCTACCCTGAGTCAGTATTTATTTTATTCTTTAATAATTATATTTCCTGGCAATATGTCTTAAATAAAAATTAAATTGCGTTTGTGGTCGAACTCCTCAGAAACGGATTGATAAGAAATTTTTTATGTATATTTGGCAGGTATGAGAATAGGTCGTCAAAAATATATTTCGTACCGCTAGGTGATAAGAGAGTCTATCCAGAAAAAAATATTTATTTTGCAGAACAACGTTAACCAAATCAACTAGTATTTTTATAAGTGACTCGATCCGGCTTCGCACGGGTGTATTTATATTTTATTATTTAAAGCTTAAACTTGTTATAAATTTATAATAAGATTAATATTGATACCAGTATTGATAGTACTTTAAATATTGTATTTTAGCTTTATAACTTTTTTTCGTATTGAGAATTTTTCATTTTCCCATAAGAATAAAACATTTTACCGCAGCAAACAGTGTTCGATATGTTGACCCAGATACTAAGTTATCACCGCATCAAATTTCAACAAAACTCGCCCAGTTGTTTTTGCGTGATTCGTGTTCAGACACGGTCTAGTTACAGTTTTAATATATGTACAGATATAGATCAATTTAATATTAAAAAAAAAAACTAACTAAATTCAAAATTGAAAAAGTTTTCTCTCCTGTTGTATGTGTGCTATTAAGCATATGGATGTTTAGGTATGCATTTGTTTATTCTATATAATAGTGCGCCACCTACCATTTGTCTTTTTCTCAATGCCCTCTACCCAAAGGTTGTCTGGAAGAGTTTGCTTAGCGATAAGGCCGCCTTTTGTATCACTTTTCATTAAAATTTACTGTATTTATTATTTTTAATTGGTCTAATAAAGTATAAATAAATATATGACTTATTTTTTTCTTATTTAGTAGCAGTCTGAATACTATTTTAATATTTACACGAGTAAATTGATTTAGATCTATTAAAATATTTAGCTATTTGTATTTATTATTATAAAGTATAAAATAATAAAATACTAATTACATTCTTAAACAGTTTGTTATTGTCAATTCAGCAGTGATAAGTAATTACATATAAAGCTTTATTTTTTTTAGTATTTAGCATTTTAGTCATCATCTTTCAAGTCAAATTTTCATAAATTTTAAATGTACCTGACAAGAGATATCCTGTACTATGGTACATAGCACAAAATTTCATTATAAAATCGACAAAACATTTGAAAGAGTTATGTAATATTTATGTTTTAAAACAAATTTATAATTTACATTAAAAAAAAAAACAACATCGCGTATCCAATTACGGTAAACATAAATACAAGGAAATGTGGTTAAACATTGTTTATTTTCATAACATAAAACGATTTCCTGATAACATCAAGGAAAAGCTGTTACATTAATATTTAACTGGAATGATAATTGGGGATACGTTACAAACAACAGTTTAAAGTGTGTTATGTGTTTTATATGATATTTGAACGACACGTATATAAAATATTCTTATCAATATGAATCTAAATAAAAAAATAACACTTGTATATCACGCTATTAGTTTATAGTTGGAATTCCATTCCAGGAAACTTAAACTTAATAAAATTACTTAACGATTAAATTATTCTTATTAAGGTAAAGAAGAAGAATTACGAAAGAGATTGTTTATGTAATTGCGAATGAGTGGAGATAACGGTAGGAGACGAAATATACGGACGCATCGTCATAGTCGTAGAATACTGACGGATCTAACAAAGATTACATATAAAGATCCGTCAGTATTCTACGACTATGACGGCATGTCGACCAAATAGGTGGCATACTAAAAAAATGGCCAAGTTGGAAGTACTAGTTATGGGTGTTCAGATGAATTAATTTATAGTACTTATTTATATACGTCGTGCAGTCCCAGCATAGAATAGGCCATCCCTTCCTTTCCCGTGGGTGTTATAAAACCCGACTAAGGGAACTCAATGATCGAGGGATGGCAGCAGCATTCTTCTTAAAACATCACTGAAAGTCTAACTGGGATTACCAATCAACCTGCCAAGTATGGCAAATGTTGGCAAAACCTCTCTTATAGGTGATGCTTATGTTCATCAGTGAACAGTGACCGGTATGATATGATGACGGTAATGATGATTACTTTACCTCCGCTATATATAAATGGTGCGTCCGCATCAGTGGGTGGTCCGTCGTACATCTGCCTGAGAACATGAAGGTCGTATCCAGCGTCGCCCTCGCCGCCGCCTTCGTCTTCGTAAGCTATGATGTTCTCCCTTATATCATCGAGTTCTTTCTCTGCCCACGCGATCGCTCTACGTCGGTGGACGACCATTGCTAGAAGTAATACTGAAAGAGGGATATTTGATTAAATTTCCATATTTATTTCAATTCTATTTATGGCAGACCTTTAATGCGTTGTTTTTATTTTAAACATAATAGTATAAGCAATCCCTGTCCCTATAAAGAAATATACCTGTATTATTAAATTTATTCGACTTGTATATCTATATAAGTATATATTGCAATTTGCTTTCTAAGAAGAGAAAGAAATTAAAGAAGAATAAAAAGATAATGTGATATTTTCATTGCATTATTTCCTTACATGGCATAAGCTCCTTAATGAAAAAGACCAATAATTTATGGTCGCCAGTGTGATAAATAATAATATTCCCAAATACACAATAATATGTGTTAGAAAACGCCTACATCCAGCACTTAATACACTAGAGGAAAAAATTAAGCGATCAAAAAAAAATTCTAAAAATTTTGAGGTTTTTCAAGTAGCTGTATTTCCCTTAAAAATGGTCGTACTGGAATTTAAAAAAAAGGATTTTAAAGCTCAAAGTTTCTAGTTTTTAGATCTTATGAAGGAAATTTTTTTTAAGCAACGTGTTCTGCTCAATCCTAATGAATACCAAAAATTTTTTTTTTTAAATTTTTCGGTTCTTTTTTTGGTCTACGAACTTGGAAAAAAATGTTCTAACTTAACCACTATATGGATCGGATAGCTTTTTCATTCAGCTTTGATTTGCTTTTTGTAAAGTTTGCTACGACCACTTCTTGCTGAGATATCGAACTTTGAATGGAAAAGGATCTTTTTGTCTTTAACCATCAATATTTCAGCAACCGCTGATCACACAAGGAAATTAAGGAAGGTTTTGAATTCTTGAATAAATTTCCGACAAAAATCAGCTATGATTTTTTGAAAAAGATCTTAAAACTAGAAACTTTGAGCTTTAAAACCCTCTTTTTAAAGTTTTCCAGTACGACCATTTTTGAGGGAAATATAGCTACTTGAAAAACCTCAAAAAATTTAGATTTTTTTTTGATCCCTTAATTTTTTCCTCTAGTATAGATACAGACAATCACAATGATCAAACCCCATGTAATATAGAAAAGGAAATAGGTAAGTTAAACAAATTTCTACAGCTATTGACCATCTATATGATGACATCCTACAGATATTACAAATATGAAAATTTACATGTTGTGAAATGCCAAATTGAAAACAAATTAGAATGTTGCCCTTTACAAAAACTACTATCTTTATAATGCAGAATGCTTATTTTTAAGTTAGATATTACTATTAGATATAAACTGGTAATTATGAATTATTAGCTTATACCGGCGACTTCGTTTGTATTTTTTTTTATACAACTTAGAATGGCAAACAAGCTGACGGCCCACTTGATGGAAAGTGGTAACCGTCGCCTATAGACATGAGCAGTACCATGGACTTAACAGAGTATACTGTTTCGCCCATGATAACCCCCATGCGTTGTATGACCGGGATATATCCTTCCCATCCCATATAATACATGTATACCAAATTTTATAGTGACTGGATTAGCCGTTAAAGCGCTATAAGGTAACAAACAAACTCACTTTCACATTCATAATATTAATAAGCATCTTTAAAATAGAGTTTTACATGTATTCCTCCTATGTTTGTCTATGTTTGGAAGTTTCGTTAAGTCTATGTTTGGAAGCCCTCAATATACTTTTTCAGTAAACCAGCAGCTTATTATCAATTGACCGGTCATGAATAGTAAAAAACTTGCAAACTTTAACTGCTAGTTGTTGACTGGTTACGCGCGGGTTCACTCGTTTGAAGAGAGTGTAATATAGGTACTTACTAATTAATATGGCAATGCAAACTAATATGGCGACGAGGAAGTTCGTGTCGATGCCAAATGTAACGGCCGTGAACATACTCCGCTGGCAACTCGGGTCTGCCTCCTTCTCAAGTGACGGCTGTCCGAGGTTATACACCTGTACAAAAAAAAAAAATTACATTAAATATGTATTGTATGAAATTGTATATTCTTTATTGCGTGTGATGACGGTATCAGCAATACAATTTAGTAGCAATATCAATTTATCCACAATGCGAAAAGCAAAGGAAATAAGGCATACAGCATGATCTTCAATAGAAAGTTTGTATTTCCACGTTTAAAAAGGGCAAAGTTGCCATAATTCATATCTTAGATGTCATAAGATTTCACAAGAGTAGTGATGTTCAATGTACATATTCTATAAAATCTAATTCAGGTATTCGAGTACTCAATATACAAAATTTGAATTAATATTCGCGTATTTGTTACAAGTTTCTGCTTTATCATTTTATTATTATATTGCACTTAATTAATTATCAAAGGAGAAAATATTAAATCCTAAACGGAATGAATATTGTCTTAAATTAATTGCAACAGTATTCGACAATAACGAAGTACCTTCTCGAATACCCGTACAAGTACTCGAGTATTTCAGAGTCAGAGACCTTAAAATCGAATCAAGTTTCGATTCATTATATATATATATATATATATATATATATATATATATATATATATATATATTGATAAAATTGATAAATTGATAAAATAACTAGGAAGGACATAGGAGTCGATCCTGTATGTTAAAAAGAACCATCAAAATCAGCGATGATATCGCATGGTATATACACTCGATAAGAATTTTCTAAGTCAGTCCACAACGGACTGACATATGGGTAAACATCTACTACTCCTTTTTTGAAGTCGGTTAAAAATGACACTCATTGCAGAAAATTAAACGAGATTTATATTTAAGTAGCGCACTGTAGCGCTCTTAACACCTTCAAAGTACTGTCGAATTTAACTTTTACCTCACTCCGCGGTGTAATTGCATAAACATCGTGGGGAGTTCAAAGAGTTTTAAACATTATTTTTAAACGACCAAAAACAAGGATGTTCCCGACACGTCTGTATTTTTTTTGGCTACGTTACTCGTTTACGTAGCCGATTGCGGATGGATTTTGTTAATTCTTTTTGCAAACGTTTACTACTAATTTAATCGAGAATTAAATCGATTTGATACCATACAATATTTTTAGTTAAGTAGCTTCTCTCATGTTTTGTGTTTTTATAAGAGATGTGAATTACCAGAATCATTTCGGTAAACTATGATAATTTCGTTTATATACGTAAAAACGTTTCCATTATTCGTGAGTTGTTATAACCTGGTCGAAATGTCGACACAATTTACGTAAATTATTATAATTTAGCAAATGGTCGCGTTAATTCCTGCCTCTTATAAAACATAAAACATACAGCTCAAGAGCTTAAAAGTTAATAAAGTAGCTAAATAACAATTAACAACAATTATCTAATTTAAAATTTATGCAAAATATTTTCAGATTTTGTTCTACAAAAGGCCTGTTACGCGTTTGACAAAATTAATACGACACTAACACAGTTGTGAATCCTTTCGAGATTAAAAAAGAACGACCAAAACTAATCCAGAATTTGCGAAAATATCTCGTAACATAGAAATTTTAAAAATACATTTATTTAGCGTTCATATCTGAATAAATTTAGTTATTAGATTTTAGTTTGTAACTACAGGCTAATCTGGTTTATCGAAGCGCGAATGCAACTATATTAGCTGCACTATACGAACAGTCTCTAGTAGAAATAAACGACAGTAAATTAAATTTACACTTTGCTGGAGTTTTCATTACAAAATCTATGTCGATTTAAAAGGGCATCTTTGTACAGGTGGTTAATATGATTTCACAGATCGAAACGCCTTCGATATACATATATTTATAAAACTGACTATTTTTCCCTTACATAACAACCTATTAAAGCCCCACTACTGGACACAAGTCTTTCCTTACAAGAGGGTAATACCACACTGGCCAGATAAGTTGGTATAGTATTTCATTACTTGGTAGTTTAAATTGTTTTAAAAAATTACAACGCCTGTCCGTTTAGAAGAGCAAATAGTATTTTTTTTTATACAACTTAGAATCGCAAACATGCTGACGGCCCACCTAATAAAAAGTGGTAACCGTCGCCTATAAACATGAGCAGTACCATGGACATAACAGAGTTACTGTTTCGCCCATGATACCCCCCATGCGTTGCCATTCCTGAGGACTCATGTGTTATTCCTCCGTACCCAGTAAATTCACGCCATATCCCACCCTTCAAACCGAAGCACAGCCATGCAAACACAATTGCTTTACGGTTAAAACACGAATGGGACAGAGGTACCCAAGCAATAGACTTTTGTACAAAGTCTCCCTCTGGTATAGTATGGTAAAGTAATTGCTATTTATAAAATCACAGGCGCGCGCAATCCACTAAATAAACTTGAAAACTTCAAGAAGTTTTAGTAGATTTAAAAGTTAAATAAAATATCCTTCATACAAACTTCATACATACTTCATACAAATATATACAACTTAATATGGTATACAAGCTGACAGTCCACTTGATGAAAAGTTAATAGCGTTATGGACGTCACAGAATAGCCTGTGACGCCCATGACATCCCTCATGGATTGGTATCTGCAGAAAGAGAAATAATACTTACAATATCATTGTATGTGAAATTGCTGATGCAGCCCATGAACGGTTGATTTGTAGGGATGTGCTTCCACGAGAAAGATCGCGCTATATTCTCCAAATCGATGCTAGAACCACCAAGCTGCAGAGGGCCGTTCACTGTACAGATAGAACGAAATATTATAGTGAAATTATTACGTTTGAAAATTAACTATAAACAAATGTATTATAGTTTTTTAATAATAACATTATTTTTTATATTATTTTATGTTGAAAAAGAATTATCGATAGAAAAAAATATTACATACATTTCTCATAATAAGAGAATCTGGCAACCCTATTAAGGATTATAGTTGTGAGTAGTATTATATTATATTTATACAATATCAATAAATGCACTTAGGTAGTAAGTAATTTATTCTGACATAAGCCGCTTCTAGTATATTTTAATCTTACATTACATTTATAGACAGTGTCTTCATACAATTGTTTCCAAAAAAACAGGTCAACTTTTTTATCTATGTGTACGTAAATCGAGTTACCAGTATGTATGCACACTACTAATACTAAGCATATGAAAAAAAAAATTATATTATAAATTTAAATAAAAAAAAAATTACGATAGAATTTTTTTGTGAATATTTATTAGACGAATGAAACATAAAAATTGAACAAACATATAAAAAATACAATTGAGCTGAGAACCTTCTTTTAAAGTCGGTTGAGAAAAAAAAATACTAACCGTTCAATATTTGTTTGGGACCAGTTGGGGCAGCCAAACTCATACACGTGGACAGCTTGCACCGATCCACAAACATCTCAATGGAACTCCTCATCAGGACTATCTCGATCAGATGAGGCTTCCCATCAGCGACCCGTACCACACTGTTGTTGAGCCGGGTAGTACCAGAGCCGTAGTTGACGAGAAGTACTGGATACCCTTCCACCAGCTCTAGCGACATGAAGTCTGCGAACAAACGAAGTTATAAGTCTTTGTCCTCAGGAGAATACATAACGGTGACACAGTATATTCTGTGACGTCCACGACACTTTTTATGTCTATTGGCGATAGTAACTTTTTATTATTATCAGTTTACTACCGCAAAAAGTGGACGCAGGTGGCTCAGGACCGTTCCTCACGGCAGTCATAGGCAGAAATAGATGAAATAATGATGACGATTCCCCATATATTAATTAAGGATGCTGACACTGTACTAAATTTCATTGAAATGCATATAGGTATTAAACGATGATTGAGTATTAAAAATCCAAAATAGCATCATACATAACTAAACATCTTTCGAAACATACACGTAAAAAAAAAAATTATACCTATCAAGTAAAAAAAAAACTACCCCGAGTTCACACAGTACACCCATATTTGAATAAAACATAATTATTTTTTTCCTAGAACAATTCCAAGCAATTTTCATTCCTCCTTGTTTGTATATAATTAAGATTCGTCAACAAGCGTCGCAAGATATTTTACTTTTTAAAAGTATATTTTTACTATATCAAAGTATTGTTTTCCTTTGCCTACCTGTCTATCATACTGATTGAAATAATAATAATGTTGTTTCTATTAAATGTTACCTCTCATTATCTACAACAGTGAATATGCTTTTAAAAAGGAAATTTAGAAATACTGAGATATGAATAAATTTTATGACATTACATTTTCAATGATTTAAATAAATAGACCTTAGTATGAATGGAATTCGCATAATACAGGATTCTGTACTGATGTAAATAAATAAAAAAAAATACTTATGGAATTCGAGGTTCCCAGCTACGTAAAATTAGAAACACATATAGTACTTATGTAACATGTATAAATATTTAACAAAAGATTATTTATTATTATTATTTAAAAAAAGTATTCTTTAATGTACCTATAGTTTAAACTATAATTTCATCCCTAGGATATCATAAGAGACAAAAATTAAAAAATAAAGAACAAAATAAGCAAACCAACCGATGTATTACAAAAAAAAAAAACTATAAATTATAATATCGTCAAAAAATCCGTGCCCAATTGTAGAGAGTAAATTTTTTTAATCGATGATTATGAAATGGCAACCCCACCTACCAACCTAGTAACAGCTAAGTGAGGATGGAGGTTAGTTGATTTCCAGAGGAAACTGCGCGGAAGGTGACTTAATGTGATACGTTTCATTGCTAGCAATATCTTATCAGGTCGTAGTAAGATCGTGGGAGACCACATAGTCTTTCGTGGAAACCATCGTGGTTGATTCTTGGTAAACTAATTACGACAAACTGACCTGCCTTCATCCTTATCTATCATCCTTCACCTCGCCCCGTATACAGATAGCCCTGTGGAGGTTACCGTTGCATTTTCATCCCATTAAAAAATGGTATATTGCTAGCAATGAGATCAATCGCCACTACCAACAATCCCTTTCCTCCAGCGTTAACAAACTGAGTAATTTATAATAATTTACTTAAATCCTAGAATCTAGTAATAACTGAAAAATATTGATGTAACGGCCATGATAGCGTGTCTTAGTTCCAGCGTAACGTCACGTTTCTACCATAGCAGCGGGGTTACCTATCACGCGAGCGGTCTCTCAATAAATCATAACTGCTACACGCTTGTCCGTCATTATGTGATCATTAAAAAATCATTACAGGCGTAACATTTGAACGACGTAATATTACAATGGTGACGGGCGGCTGGTACATCGGATAACGGCCAGTGGAAATGGTGCACGCCACGCATTTAATGGCAACACTATAGTGGCTGGTGTTATAGTGGCTAGAATAAAAAAAAATCTTTTTATTTACTAATTTCGTATTATTTTTTTTATTGAAAAACCTAATATGTTTTTTTATTACTAAGAATTAAATAATTAGATTTTATAAAAATAAAATTACAACATTTTTCAATTGATACTAACAATTGTAGTTTTTAAAGTAAAAACTGTTTCACTACACTATCAAATAAAATATAATCTACATATTCACTGGCTTAATTTCCTATATGTATATAAAAAGTTTTTCTTAAGTATTCTAGTATATTTATTCAATTGTCTAATGCCCACAGTAAAAGCATAACTTAATTTGGGACAAGATGTTACTATATGAGATTAACATAGCGAATTATTTAATATTTAATTATATAGATAATGAACTGACGCGTCCTTTTCCACAGTGAACATTTTAGAAATTTCACTAGAACTAGGAGAAAATACGTGGCGTGGATTAGAAATTACGATAAAAAAAATAATAACAAAAATATATATTAGCATTAAATTTTCTATTAAATTATTAATATTATTAAAATTAGTAATATCCTATACCAGTATGAGCATTAAAACTGCTTAATATTTTGTATCAAATTTCCATTCACATGGAATGCTAAGCCCATTCAAAATATACAACATTAATTCCCCGGCCATTGTGAATCGGGCACGGAAATCATTATTCAAGTTGTTACGCCAATCTGGCCTGACATGTTCATTGTTGCTGGCAACATTGTTAGATTTGAAGTCGAATTCTTGTTAGTACCACAGTTAATGAACTTAGTTGAGTAATGATCGAATTTTATATGTTAGTTCTGTAAATTGTAACTTGGCTTACTCGACTGCCAAAAAGGAGGGTAATACTTTTGACGGATCTTAATAAATAAGGTGTAATTTTTTTTTAGATGATAATGGAATGGCAACCCCGCCTGCGCTGACGGTTTACGCTGGAGGGGCACCAACAAGAGATGATAGATAAAAAGACAGATCAATTAGTCCATCGTGATGAACACACCTGGAATTCGGCACGAAGGTTTCCAGGGGAGACCACGTGGAGGTCGACCTGACAACCCTGTCAGGCCTAGTCCCATTACTAGCAATACACCCGTATTGCTAATAGGGGTGTATTGCTAGTAATGGGACAGGTAATTCTCAATGAGGTGTCATTAGATATATCTTCATTGTGAGATGTGCAATGGGTCACGTGTGAGCAAGAGAGATGCTTTGTAGAAAAATCATCTGTAAAAGTAGTGGCTGTATTTCGGTTTTAAGGTTTGGATATTGCCATTGGGGTATTTAAGATTTATGGGAGAGAGGGGTCTGGCCCATTTAAAAAAGCTTATGTAATTGACATGTCTTTATGAAGTTTAGCTCCCTACTTGGGCCGGGCACCAGACAATTCTGAGAGGGTAATGTAATTATTTCTCGGTTTTCCCCTTCCTCTTTTGCCCTCTATTCTAGCACACCTTCACTTATAGCATTTAAATTAAGTAGTTATAAAATTATTTCATTTATGTGTTTTATGTACTTAATATTAATTTCGAGAAATAATAAAAAGTGCATAATTAAATGGAGCATAGAATAATTACAAAAAACACTTAACTATAAAACCAACTATAACGAGAGTAGTTCAGTTAGTCAATAATGCGAACATTCCACTTAGTGAAATTGGCAATTTGGCAAGAAATATTTGTCCTCTTAAGAAAAATATGGGGGAGAGCGAAGAAACTGTCTATCTGTATCAATTACCATTAAACTACATTATAAAAGATGTTTTCGAAAGTTTCCCATCGTCTTTTTATTATGTTTACTTGGCAAGTTTAGAGTTTTATACCGTCTCTAACAAACAAAGAGGGAATTTTTGTTCGTACACCAAACTTTTGAAAGTTACTTAATATTTCAATTAAGAATGCGTTCGTATATTACAAAACAATTTGAGTTTGAAACACCCTCAAAATTAAGACAGAAAAATAAATATTTTCATTAGTAATAACAATAGATACATTTTTAAATGTAAATATGCAATACACCGCCATCTAGTCGTAAACTAAGGATACTAAACAACTGATAGATATATTTGAAAATTGAAAACACATAAAGTTACAAATTACAAATACAGCATGAATTTACTGGGTACGGAGGAATAACACCTGAGTCCTCAGGAATGGCAATGCATGGGAAGTATCATGGGCGAAACAGTATACTCTGTTATGTCCATGGTACTGCTCATGTCTATAGGCGACGGTTACCACTTTCCATTAGGTGGGCCGTCAGCTTGCTTGCCATTTTAAGTTGTATAAAAAAGTCAGAAGTCAGAAGGCGGGAAATCCAGTATACCAAAACTGACAATAACATTATAACAAAGATTTAGTCTGCTGACACTACCAACAAAGGATTATTTAAGACGTTTTTCTAAGATCAATTCTGAATTGAAATTACTATTCGTTATTGTAAAATCTAACCAGTGTTCTTTATTGTACCATGTCGAATTGGGATGTATCCTGTAAGGACATGGAAACAAGGACATAAAATAAATAAAAAAAACTTAGATAATAAACAAAAAGAATAATCAAAATCGGTTCAGAAAAACGTAGATATTTCGTAACATAGACACAAATATAATCATAATGACATCCACCACGATCATTTAGGTAAACTATGATGATTACACGGAGCGTGGTCACGAGTTGACGGTCCCTTATAAAACATAGAACATACAGCGCGAAAGTCTAAAATAAGTACTACCACTTTTTGAAGTCGGCTATAAAGTTAAATTATGTATGGAACTACGCAATACGATATAATCGACCGTAAGTCAGGCGAACTCTAGTGTAAACACCCCCTAATGAATGAATGAATAGTGAATGAAAAAACCAATAACTGATCGAACGAAAGAACATGTGGATCTTTTGTATGAAATCATAACGCGCACAGATGATACATGATAAATGATAATGGAAATTAATTATACAACATGAATCCACGGTGATACATAGATGAGGAAAAATACTACCATTGATCTATCAAATACAGAGACAGAAGACGTGATGATTAATAAAGCTCTGGTCTGCATCATAACATTAATCAAAGTGAATCATCAAACAGAAATACAAACATAGAAACAATTTTTTTTTCAATTTAGGGTTACCAGAAGGAGACTTTGTACGAAAGTCGATTGCTTGAGTACCTCTGTCTCATTCGTGTTTCAAGCTTGAAGCAGTTGTGTTTGCATGGCTGTGTTTCGGTTTGAAGGGTGGGATATGGCGTGAATTTACTGGGTACAAAGGAATAACACCCGAGTTCTCAGGAATAGCAACGCATGGGGGGTATCATGGTCGAAACAGTATACTCTGTTATGTCCATGGTACTGCTCATGTCTATAGGCGACGGTTACCACTTTCCATCAGGTAGGCCGTCAGCTAGTTTGCCATTCTAAGTTGTATAAAAAAAAAATAGCTCTTTTCGGTGCAACTAATTCATGCATTCTCTTCCAACCATCTCAATTCAAGGCAATATCTTTATAGAAATTTATTTATATAACAATTATGATTATGTAATTTATAAATATGAGTACAAATTCATATTACTCTGAATTTGATAGAAACGAAATGAAACATATGGTATAGTTATTTTCAAAGGTTTATATCAGACTACTACTAATTATAAGAATTATATTGTAAATAAATATATAATATTCAAAATGTATAAATCTATGCTACTAATATTATAAATTTCAAATTTTGTAAAAATATTTGGATGTCTATATATCTCCCGTTATATACATGAGTATGTATGTAACGGGAGATTAACAAGCTTACTGTGTTTGCCCTTTCCGACAATTGTTTTGACTTCATCCGAAAGTTTCTTTAGGGGAAGGGGGGGGGGGGGGAGAGTACGACGCTCTTTTTGTCACAGTGTCAGGACTCACACTATGACGACTACTACGAAATGATGTAATACAGTTATATAAAAGTTGTATAAAAAAAATACAAAGCGGTACAAGAAATCTTTTGGATGAAGTTGATAGACATCGTATTATGAATTATTAAAAATATTTTTTTATGCAACTTAGAATGGCAAACAAGCTGACGGCCCATCTGATGGAAAGTGTTAACCGTCGCCTATAGACATGAGCAGTACAATGGACATAAGAGAGTATACTGTTTCACCCATGATACTCCCCATGCATTGCCATTTCTGGCGACTCAGGTAGTATTTCTCTGTACCCTGTAAATTCACTGCCATATCCCACCATTCAAACCGAAACACAGCTATGCAAACACAACTGCTTCACAGTTGAAACACGAATGGGACAGAGGTGCCCAAGCAAACGACTTTTGTACAGTCTCTTTCTGGTGATAATATAATTAACCATGCTAACTATTGAACGGATTTGAAAGAAGGTATACGGATTAAACAAATCTTAGTCTAACACTAAGGTTAATTTTTATTCAATTTACGCGGACAAAGCCGCAATAAACTATCAGTATGATAAATATGAAAGATTTATAATATTTATTAATCAATGACCTTTGAATGGCAAGTTGGATTGTAAATCAATTTAGTACATAGATGCATAATATCCTGGATAAAATTATTTTTATAACAATTCACACCAGCAAAGCCGCGGTTAAGAGCTAGTATTGAGAGAAAACCACTAACCTTGTACTTCCAAGAGTGGGTTATACTTCAGGGGTCCCAGGTAGAAGATTAGGCTGTTCACAGAGTGAGCGGTCACGGTCAGAGTCACACGGCCCTCGTGACACGCAGGCGGCGAGGGGTACATGGCCCATCCAGCACCGTGGAAACCGATAGATGTCTCCTCGCAATGGGGGCCTGTAAGACCCTCTCTGCATTCGCATTGGTTCGCTATGGGCGTTCCTGAAATTTGATGTATTTTTAATTATACTCGTAAAAAAAGTACAGGGTATTTCGCCCTGTGTTTTTCTGAAATCATTAGTAGCGTAAGAAGGAAGTGTTCTACCATTGAATTTTAACATTTTCCTCAAAGAAACATAAGTAAAAAAAAGAGAAAGCATTTGAGCGTCCTATACCAACACGACGCGTTCAGTTGTTATGTTAATATGGGAGGCTTAATAGACGCAAATTTCTTTGGGAATAAGGTTCAATTTACTTTAAAAGGTTGCCAATGACAGATAATATAATACTATACAATAATTTAAATTTTACCTGTCTATTATTTCAGGTATATATAGGTCTATTATTCTTTTTTATTCGTACTGAATAACATTAAATATATATATGTGTGTGTCGAAAATAGGGACCTTAATATAAAATTCTGTACAAAGCCGCCTATTGAGAAGTGATCCATGCCCAGCAATGGGACATTGAGGATTTCTTTTAATGGTACTGGAAAAATATGACTATGTTTATTATTAAACTTAAACTGAAAGTTAAGTAAGTAATAGATATCTATAAAACATAGATCATGACAGTTCTTATGTGTTCTTAAGGTTCACATAAATTCAGAGTGAAGATAGAGAATGCCCGTAGGATCTATTCTATAATATCTATGATTTAGAGCGAGCCGTTTATCTACGGCGGATTGCAAGACTGCACAAATATGGCGCCAACGTGCAAAGCAAATAAGAGACCAGTAGAATTGCACCGCAAATTAATGCCAAGTGGACTTAACAGGCATGGCATAAAATTCAATTTCAAATACTTCAATGTTGTTTTAATAGCAGTTTGAAATTAGAAAACTGAATTCGAACCCTAGGTTTATATTTCGAAGTATTATCACTGACAGTATAGTTGTTGTTTATTAATTCGCAATGGAGACAGGCAAAGACTATACAGCCAATTTTTCCTACCTAACCCAGATGATATTTATATAAAATTAAATCAAAATCATTAGTATTCAGAGGGTTCTGAAGATTATAAAGAACTATAATAAACAACAAAAAAAATCTATACTACTTGGCACTCTTGGGCAAGTTTTTGAAATTATTCACCACCCTTTCAGCGGAGATGCACCTGAGTAAACTTTTGACAACGAGACAACGTCATCAGGAAAATTTGGGTGAGCACTGATCCTTTTATGTCGCATTTCTTGCACCTTGGCTTTCGCCCCTTTTATTAACTTTTAGCTCCCGTACGGGAGCCTCAAAATTTGTGTATAATTCGAGACGTGATTCTTTAAAAAAACTTAGTTTTATTGGTAGAACACTACGATATAACGATGCTAATGATTCCAATTTTAACCTGTAAACGGTCACTATAATTGGCAAGCTCGATATTCTAGCAAATGACTTATAAATCACCGCACATGGTACTAATTTTTCCATTTATCCAAAATCACTGCGATTGGTGTCATCTAACTGTGAATTAACAAGCATTTGCTGCTTTTTGCATTGACATAAAAATAAAGTAACTTTTCAATCCATCCTCGTCTATCTTTAGTTCCATTATATCGTCAGGGGGTAAAAAGAAGTGGTGACATAATGGGATCTAAAATTATTTTAGGAACCAGTTAAAATAAAACTTCATCGGTTTTAATCAGAACTATATGTAACCTAGTTCTTGTTACTTCCTATGAATTTGAAATGTACATTCCCAAAAATATGAATAAAATATTTGGATTTTAGAGATAGATTTAAGCTTGGCACTTTAAAACTGTTGATTTTTTACTTCATTACTACACTGACCGGGCGGTGATACCTTAATCGGACAACGAACTGCGAACCGAGGAACTTAAATACTAATCCTACTTAAAAAATCTGAAAATTTAATATCTGGATCATTTAAAAATAAGTGTCAATCACTTCGTGCTTCGGAGGACACGTAAAGCTGTCGTCCGTACTGCCGTTTTAGAGAACTTCATGTGGAACAAATAGGTCTAGAAAGTTTTAATACTAGAAAGCAACACTTCAATTACAGTCAGTTTAAAAAAAAACATAATGAAAATTTAACCAAAATTTGAAATTATTATAAATACTCTCCAAATGAAGTTAACAGGAAATCAAAACATTAAATCAATCTATTTCTGATTTGTACTAGTATTGGTCATCAGGAGACCATCTATAGGTCTTTTTTTTATACAACTTAGAATGGCAAACGAGCTGACGGCCCACCTGATGGAAAGTGGTAACTGTCGCCTATAGACATGAGCAGTACCATAGACATAACAGAGTATACTGTTTCGCCCATGATACCCCTCATGCGTTGCCATTCCCTTCATTCACTCATGTGTTATTCCTCCGTACCCAGTAAATTCACGCCATATCCCACCCTTCAAACCGAAACACAGCCATGCAAATTACTTCACGGTTGAAACACGAATGGGACAGAGGTACCCAAGCAATCGACTTTTGTACAGTCTTCCTCAGGTAAATTAGGTAGTAGTAATAGGTTGGGTTAATTATTTGTTTATTAACATTTTCATTAAAGTTCTATTGGAATAAATTACAGTGGTCTCTAGATTGACCTACTTACCTCCATTCAAACAAATGAGCGTATCCACCCATTCACAGGTGCATTCAGACTCGATACGCGCCGATACACCCACGAAGCTAGTGGTATTCGTGTACACAGAGAGAGGTACGTTGTTCTTGACGAGAATATTTCTGCACGACTCCTCGCATTGTTCCTTTTCTATGAGACACTCGTCAATCTTCACCATGTATATCTTGGCTTGGAGCTCGTCTTCCAGCTACAAGGGGGGAGTAAAAAGTATTATAAAGTAAAAACAGCTATTTCCATATCTATATAATAACGATTATGTATTATTGGAATTTCCTACATCGTTGCCCATATGCAAAAGCTTCAAGTTATTTAGAGAGCTATGAAGAGGGCTATGTTCTGAGTTTCTTTGCGTGATAGAATCCAAAATAAGAATATCCGCAGAAGAATCAAAGTGATCGACATAGCCCGAAGGATAAGGAATCTGAAGTGACAATAGGCTAGCACATAGCTCGAAGAATCGACAATCGATGGGGAAGAAGGGTTCTTGAGTGGCGACCCTATACGGGCTAACGCAGTTCAGAACGACCATCCACTAGATGGACTACCTCAAATGTATTGCAGGAGTCAGTGGATGCAGGTAGCTCAGGACCGTTTCTTGTGGCAGTCTATGGGAGTGGCATATGTTCAGCAGTGGACATATAACAGCTGACATGATGATGATTGAGATTTGATTTAATTTTTAATAATTTTCGATTTTAATCCCCGATTAATATTCGAGCGATGGATTGTTAACAAAGCAAGTTAATTAGAGTAACGGCGGTGGACTTGCTTCCTTCAAATATAGGTATCTCTTCAAGTATAGGTTTTTCAATAAAAAAAAAAAAACCAACAAGGATAACAATTATGAGCAGTTGCATAACAGACATTAGAAGGTAGGCCTGGGCCTCTAGACAAATGGCAAGCGAATTCGTCGATGGAATCGATGTCGCTAGCGAGTCCGTGAGATAGAATGAGATAGCAACGCCGGATGACTGATTCCAACTCACAGACTCGCGATGTCGATTCCATCGACGAATTCGGTTGGCACTTTTCTGGAGGGCCTGATGCGTATTTATAATCATCAATGTATGAAAAAATTACCTTTTCTTGTATGCCTATAACCATGCTATCAAGTTTTTCCGCTGGATAGTACGGTGACCCGTGCGCTGAGAAACGCACGTCTAAGAATGCGTCCTGAACAGTCCTCTTGCTTGACACGGTGAAAACGTCCACGTTGTCCAGAGACGTGTTGTATAGTTGGGCGAGACGTCGGTGCAGCTTGTCCTTTTTACTAGTGCCCTAAAGGAAAGAGATGCCGATAGTAATGACACATATGACACAGTAGAATCTTTACTTATAAAATTAAGAATATGAAAGTTTGTTTGTTGCCTATGATATTTGGTTTACATATACTGTATGGGATGGAGGATATGGGCTACTTTTTATGCCGGTCAGTAAACATATCCCAGACACAAAGGCAAAATCACAGGTTAAAATTAGTATGTAATAAAAATTAATATAGCAATTTAAAAAAAATCTTTTGAAACGAACAGTTCAAGAACAGATCGTATGCATTGCATGGGTGCAAATGTACGTAGATTTACCTTCCGTAAAATATCTAAGTGGCGGTGACCTATATCAAAATACGTTGTGTGGTTTTGAAGTAACAAAAACAGTTCAGTCGGTCAACGCTTGACTGGGGTCCAGAGATTCTAAGATTGAACTCCAGGTTAACTTTAAATTCAAATTTTTATTTTTTTATACAACTTAGAATGGCAAACAAGCTGACGGCTCACCTGATAGAAAGTGGTAACTGTCGCCTATAGACATGAGCAGTACCATGGACATAACAGAGTATACTGTTTCGCCCATGATACCACCCATGCGTTGCCATTCCTGAGGACTCAGGTGTTATCCCTCTGTACCCAGTAAATTCACGCCATATCACACCCTTCACATCGAAACACAACCATGCAAACACAACTGCTTCACGGTAGAAATCGAATGGGACAGAGGTACCCAAGCAATCGACTTTTGTACAAAGTCTCTCTCTGGTTTCAAATTCACTCATGAATCATTTAAAAATATTTTTCCCCTTTTGCTTCGAAGGATAAGTAGAGTGGCTCTCTAGTAAGCCACGTCAGAGGCCTTCATATATATCGAAGGAGGCCTAAAAACTCTTGTCACCAAAGGACGACATCCTTACATGACTAATAGTAGTATTTAGAAATGTTTACATTCGGCCGGGCGCTATAGAGGTTGGTTCAGAGGAATTAATCTTTTGATGTCCAATACCTCTTAAATGTTTATGATTCTAAGAGTAAATGACGCATGATAGATTCATATCTACTCGTGTAGAGGTTCTACTTTGAAGAGGGTATTGACATTTAGGGGAATTATATTTATGTCAACGGCCAAAATTGTCTACATCCATTTCTTAGTAATAACGGATAAAAATATTTTTCATTTTCTATATTTTCGTATGTAACAAAGTTCCTAATCTACCTTTATTGGACTAGAAAGAAGGCACAGTCAATTTCATTTCTTTTTTTTAATGAATAAATATACGTCAAGCAGCCATATTTAATTACATTTAAAAATAAACCTTTAATATCATTCTTTGAGCATAGGTATCTCTCCGTAAAAGGAAAATAGAAGTCTGCTATTAACACCTAGGTCAGGCTGATCCGTATGATTTCTGAACGAAAAGGTAAATATAAAGGTCATACAAGAAACAACACCGGAACATTGGGTATTCCTTATTAGTATAGCTAGTAAAATATACTATCAGATCGACCTCCACGCGGTTCCTCTTGAAAACTATTGTGATTCACTCTAATAAATTCGTCACAATGTGCCAAATGATAGCTAATTAAATGTTTATATTTTTATAATTCTTTTTTATAATAATATTCTTTATTCGCATAAACTTAATTACAAGCATATTTTTTAATAGTATTTTTTTATGATTTTTGTCAAATTGTACAATAATTGGATCCATTTGGATAATTTTTAAAAATGAATATACTCACATCTGCTTCAGGAATAATGAACTCTTCAGCTGTTACATTTATAAATCTGATGGAGCCAGATTTATCAACTGCTTCCTCTGGAATCTCTTTTATGGTTACATTGACCGTCGCCTCTACCCAATGGAATGGTACCTTTGGTTCGTTCTCTTCTGTTACCTATAATACAAAGAACAGTTATATTTTGAATGTTTAAAATTAGAATTCAATAGTGCCAACCATTGAATAAGAATAAATTATTATAGAAAACATTATAGTAAAAGTAGTCCCATTCAACGGCTATAATAGCATAGATTTATAACATTGGTTGCTCTATATTCGACACCAGGTGTCACTACTGGTATTGACAATTTGATCTTGAAGATACATGAAGAAAGTAACACAAAGTAAGTAGTTAGTTGTTGTCGTATCGGCCGTTAACAGTCCACTGCTGAACATACCCCATAAGGGGGTTATTGCCAGTTGTTGCCACGCTTGGCAGGTGGATTAGCAACCGTAGTTTAGCTTTTGGTGACGTTTTAGGAGGGACGCTACTGTCCATCTTTACACCATAAACTCCCTTCGTCGCCGCTTACGACACCCACGGGAAAGGAAGGGGTGGCCTATTCTATGCCGGGATTTACACGGCTATAGTACACCTTTAGTACCATAATTATTTCAGATTTTTGAAACTCAACGTTGACAGAAAGAAATTCTTCTAAAGAATAAGTCAGCCAGTGTATATACTACTTGTATCCGTCTCTACATTTCCTTGTAATCTTTTTATACATAAGTAACGGGAAATTAATGGACTCACTGTGTTTTTGTCGTTTCCGACAATTGTTTCGACTTCATCCGGAAAAGTATTATTTCTTTTTATACAGTTTACAGAAATAAACATTAAAACAGATATTAGATAAAACATACAACTGAGTATCGGTTTTAAATATATTTAGGCGTATATTTTAATGTGTTGATTTTAATATTAATTTAGATTTATAAATTAAAATAAACTTACATTAAACCTCAGCAGATATGTTCCATTGGGCGTTCCCTCTTTCATTGTGATCATACCATTCTTGCTATGCACATCGAAGTAAGGACTTCTTTGTTCGTACGACGGCAACCACATAAACCGCTTGTCCGGTAAATCCCAGTCGTCCGGATCGTCGACGTACACCCGTCCGATTTCCGTGTCGGGAGCTTCACCCTGAAAAAACATTTTTTTATTAGTTCTAATTCTATCTGAAACAAATTTTGTCTATGACATTTATTAGGTGATTTACAAGAAAATCTCTCTGATCCCTAACATCTAGAGTGTGGCTCTATAGGTAAAGTCAAAATGAAAAAATTGGCGCAATTTTCGAAAATTATGGAATTGGATTGGTTAAACCTTTTTAACAGTACTCTTATTACGATACTCCTTATCGATTTTTCTTAAATATTTCCTTTCTTCAGACATAAGTTGAGTATAAAATAAATATACTTTATTTTATCTAAATAAAGAAGCAATTACAACATTTTTTTTTTTTCGATTTAATTACAAGTTTAATACAATAAAATGTTGTATAAAAATACATGCAAGTAAAATAATAGTTATAAAAAAACATAGGCCAAGGTAAAATCACCGTGTTGGTAAAATAAATATAATAATTCAATCACAATAGTAATAAACAAAGCAAGGCACTGCTATCTTTGTCCAAAATCGGCAATAATGTCTTTTATGGGCAGTTAAACCTTTCTGAACTCCACCTTAATAATATGTTCCGAGTATAATAGAAATAATTTTACTGCGCCGCCATATGGCGTGTTAATATACCAATTTCTTTACTAATTGCTTGTTAAAAGAAAAAAAAAATTAAGATATTTTGCCAGTAGGTAATGAAAGAGGATACAGTATATTTTAATTATCAATCATATAGCTATATCGTGTATAAAGTTTATAACAATGGACGTTTGTTACTCTTTCTCGTAAAAACTACTGAACAGATTTGAAAGAATTTTGGTTCAAAGGTAAGTTATATCTTAACTTAGCATATAGGATACTTAGGTATTGATTCAAGCGAGTTAAGCCGCGCGGTACAGCTAGTAACAAAATGAAAAATATAAAAGTATGTCGTCCGGTAAGTCACATCAGAGGTCTTTTTTGTTTAATCATTTTTATTTTTTTGAGGCGGCTCAGTAACTCTTGAGAACAGAGAACTCCATCTATATGAGCAGTCGTAATATCAATACCTATATGATATTTTATATGACCAAAGAAGAGCGAGATATGGGCAGTAGCGTCCCTCTTAAAACATATCCGAAGTCTAACTGCGGTTGCCAATCCGCCTGCCAAGCCTGGCAACAACTCACCACGGGAGATACTTATGTTCAGCAGTCGACAGTTAAAAACTGATATGATGATGATAATTTTTCTAATATTTTACGGCGAGTTTACAGTTTACATTAATTTTTTAAAACTTAACAGTGCTGAACTACCTCTAGACGCGAGTAACGCATTGTTCCGGGGTTACTCAATCTTTCAGTTTGGAAGTTTGTGTCTATTGTGTTTCGGACACAATCCCTGGGTTTAGAGCAAGCGCGGCGTAAGCCTGTCGTTAAAACAAGCACTGAACAAAGGAGTGGTGCTCTGTTGTGGTTAAGAGTTAAAGGACAGTAATTAAGTGCAAGTCACTTAACTACTTGCATGCATTGTTTTGTTTTAATAGAGTTCAATGAAAATGTAAATGAATGAATTATGAACTCGACAATAGTGTAGTGGTGTTCAATAGAAAACAAACAAATCAAAAATCGATTAATTAATTAAACTATTCGATATGTTTCGCTTACAGAGCATTTCTGTGATAATTTCAACAAAACTCGGTTATTTTTTCATTAAGTTCTATTCAAACAAACTATATAAAATATGCAAAAGAATTTAATAGTCTTTATCGTTAATGTAAACGTTCATTAAACTTAAAAATAAGTTTATTACAAGCTTTCTTTACTGTTCCTAATTTTGGCGTAACTACAATAATTTAAATGGCATGTCTAGTTAGAACTAGTATGGGAGGCTCAGAATTTTGTTATCGCTTTTCGTCTTACATTTCAATGGAGAAATTCTTTGTAGAACAGACTTAAAAATCGATACTAATTATTTTGATTCAACTATATTACATTTTTTAATCTACCACGAAAATTACGAGGTTATCAATTTGTATGTTCCTTTATTGTCTATTGTATTTGTCTATCTGTTTCATACGCAATATATTCGCAACTCTATAAACCGATGAACAGAAATGCAACATTTTATAATTCTGTTTCATTTACGTTACTTGCCTGTGTACTTTATACAGGCAAGTAACTCGACAACTTTTACGATTTCACGATGTGTAAACGGAGCATTAAGGGGAGCGACGTATACAAGCAAAGTCACCTACGTTGCTTCATTAAGAGGGGAATAGTTTAAGCAAGTATGTATTACGAATTAGTGAGTGCAATACTGTGTAAGCACAACCACTATATAATAATTATAATTGAATTTTACTGTAACCATTTGTAGATACTATTATTTAACTATTGTGTGCTGTAAATCTACTTACATACTCATAAGTATGCATTATCTTTCAGTAATATCTAATTATGTGAAATTATATTGATTTGCATATCTTACAAATCAGGAGATTTATAAATATCACATTTTTGATCAACATGAAAAAAGGATAAGAAACAGATGATGTTAATTTAACTGTAATATAATTTAAAAAATAAGTTTTTTTTTTTTAAATTTTTATGTCTGTTACGGTAAGTCATCGTGTATATTAACCATGAATCAAGTTACGGGTAATATTTTATTTGTTATGTTATCTTTTAACTGATGCAGTAAAGAATTAATAAAGTTTGTTTTCAATCTCATGTTAATTTTGTAAAGAAATAAAGTCGAGTGTAAAAAAAATATTGAGTTACAAAATATGTTGCATATGGTATAATAGTGAAATATAATTTTTTACTGTCGACTCCTTGTCGGCTGCAGAAGCATATAAAATACCGTATCCAGAATATCCACGCCGTAACTCAATGAAATCAGGGCGAGGCAGTAAAAACTGCCTTCCTAGCATAATCCTTGTTTATACGCGTTACGCACCGCACTAAACCTACTTTCATTAAAGCGCAAAATTAACATTTTAATATCCATATATTATTATAAAACACAGACTTTATCGTAAAGGTTTTATAGGCTATATCGAATTTGAGCGCTCACTTAATTATTCATTGAGGGATGGCCGAAAGCTGCAGATGTCGTTTCGACCACAGTATTAAGACCTTTTCGGTCTTGGTACTTTTAATTTTAATAATGGAGTAAGAAGTAGAAGGACATTTGTACAGATCAGGTAGAGTTATGGTATAGTGTTAAGAGATTTTATAGTGAGTGAATTTGACAGATAGTTCTTACGTTGAACGTGAAAGAATTATTTACATTATGAAAGTTTTTAATATTTTTTAATGATTATTGGAAAAGTGCTCCGAAAGCGAATCAAAACGTTAATCATAGAAGCAGTTGCACATAAAACTACAAATAAAATTTTACATCTACTTCGTATTTTGCTTCGGAAGATTTCAAATAATTTTTGCCGTTATAATTCAAATGTATTGAATATTTTAATAAAAATCTAATTGTATGATTAATATTTTAATCTGCTATCGAAATAATTTTCAATAATCAATACGACATATTAAAAGATTTAAGGTTATAACTACCGGTTTAACTTACGTGTAATTAGATCGAAAAAGCTCGACTCGATTCGGGATCATTTCGTGATCCTTAGTCATGAGCAACTGTGACGCGAGCGCGAGCCTGACATCATTAATCAATTTAAAATATAATGTGTGCTTACGAAACCTTTAATATTAAAAACTATAGTTTTTTTTTTATTCACAGAGAATGCCGACGATGCATTCGGTGTGAACGCTCTTAACGAAGCTGTAACTTTCGAGGTTGACAGTAAAGTGTCTAATTCAGTAATGATGCCTTGTCTGGAATGAAAAACCGTAAAACTGTTTACGGTGGTTTATAAAGAGCAATGATACCGGTTCGCGAGACATTTTCATATTTCATGCTTTGTAAAACGCGCCGTTGAATACAAATTGCGACATGAAGAGCGTCTTAGCAATGGCTGAATAAATAAACGGGATATATTCATCTTTGAAGTGTAATTAAAACTAGGTTTTAAATAAAACCGGAGCGAATACAAGTGGGAATAATTTGTAAATTATATATTTATTTTTTGAAGTACAAATTGCTCACTTCACTTAGTTTCTCACAATGTATAGTGAGCTATATGTACATCTTATTAATATAATAAATGCGAAAGTTTGTGACTATGGATGGACTGTTATGAATTTTTGTTATTTTTTTACCAAAAAACTGCTGAACAGATTTGAATTAATAAACAAGTGTAGGTTATATCCTAACATAGCATATAGGACACTTTATGTACTGGGATATGTAATGGAGTCTAACAGCCTTATTGTTAGCATGTCAGGTCGACCTCTATACAGTCCCCCTGCAAATCATCGTGGTTTTTTTTTTTTTTGTAGGTTATTGAATCTCAGGGAAGAGGTCACTGAAATTGTCAACTTTTTATTTTCCTCTTATTTCACTAAAATAAGTAAATAAATCAAAAATCATCAAAATTTCTAGTAAACTGAATTATTTAAACTCACACGGATATATTTCAGGTAAGGAAGCGTGTTTTAGTGCATCTCACCAAAGACGAAAAAGTATTAAATACAAAAAAAAAAAACATAATAAACGAAAGTCCTTTATATAAATACGATATCATATATTGATCCAATATCTGATATCTATATACCTACCGATCACTTTACAAATTATGTATTGGGTATTTCTGATTTGCTATTGTTATCAATTAGTGATATGACACACCTTATCATACATAACGAAATGCATGCATCAAACATAGATTATCGCACCGATTTTAAGTATATATACGTCTGATATGACCAAATCAAGAGCGTTTGATAGTTACTATATTAAACCGCATAAAAGCGATATTACCCATTTCTAATTTACTAATCTGCAATCGTTTTGTGTTGTTTAGTTGCATCATAGTGCTGCAATTCTATACTTACACTATTTGAAGATAATGTAAGACCACAATCAGTATTGCTTGGAAAGGTGCTTGGACCCTGAAGAAACTTTAATAT